ACTGATGTATCAAGGCTTTCAGGACTTATAGTTTTCCATATTCAATAAACTGGGGCATTGCTGATGCCACCCAAAAAAAAAAAACAAAGGGCAAGCACTTCCTTTTACAATTTTTGCATGAGAACAAGCAAGTGACCAGACAATTGTTAAGAAGACTTGCCTTCCTTTCTTCATCAGTAGCGGTAGTAGTTCCACCACTTCCACTCAAACTAATGACAAAAAGGGCGAAAAAGATGCAGGAAATTCGAAGTGCATCCATTCTTGATTTCATCAAAATGAGCTTTTTTTTTTATGGTTGTGCTGTACAATCCCTATTTATAAAAGCAGGCGTGGTGTTGTTATTCTATTTAAGATTGCGTTCATATATATTTTGACAAGTAGGAAAAGATTTTCCATCTTAAACATGCTGCTCCAATGTAAGAATCTGAGTTGGTTGATATAACGAGATGATTCAACTGATTTCGTACAGGAAATGCTTTTTATGCCCATTGATTCTTTGTATCTAATTACTTCCATTCCATAGCTCACGATAGAATCGGTTCTTTGCACAGATGAGAATGAGGTGAGGGGTATTTGATTAGTCAGTCATACTTTGCTGGCCATGCATCCTCATCCTTATTCGTTGTCTAGTTTTTCTCACCTCGTCATGGGTTGTCTCCTTCGTTACCTTAATCAAAATTCGCCCAAGAAATTTGTCTAAATACATTTGCACCAGAAAAATTCGACGAAAAACACGCTGACTAGCAATTTTGTTCATGAGAGTAGTCCAAATATGGAGGAGGTGCATGGAAGAAGTACCACCTTCTTTTTTTAAGATCCAAGTTGTATTAGGTAAATTAAGGGACATTTGGAAATTTTTAAGGTAAACGTTGCAAACTTGAACATTTTGCCCCCATTCAAGTCCGGGTTCTAAATGATACTCATAAACGTGTTGAAAATATATACAAAACAAAATCACTTAATTATGTATTGCTCCTTAAATTTCTAGTTGTCCTAAAGGTTTTAGACTTGGCTCTTTATTAGATTTTATTAAAGGGTGAGAAATATGATGTAATTAATGAGGAGTTGTATAAACAAAAATACGAAGAGACCTCTGGCGTTATATTTACCCAAGGAGACGGGGCAGGGACGGTCATCAGAAGGACCATCCCTGAACAGTTTACGGCCAGAAGAGACCTCTGGCATTATCTTACCCAACTGTATTTACTTACAAGGAAGGCCTTGTTTGGATAGCAATTTTTCAAAGAAATCTTTTCGTGAAAATTTTTTTCGTAAACACATTTTTCAATCACTTTTTTACCTTAAATATATCAAATTGGTACGATAATTTTTCTATAAAAAAAAAATGCAATCCAAACATAACTAAGTTTCTTTCAAGTTTCTAGAGGTCCTGATACCCTAAAAAAATATAATTCATGTTACAAAATCAAGTGTTATGACAGACGGCATTCTATTACATAACCGCGTGAATGTCTGCAGCATAGAGATTGGGTAGGGTATGCCTACTTTTAGGGATCATCAGCGAAGGTAAGAGAATAATGTCAATTTCAATCTGTTGTATTTTCCTCGACTTTGTGCTCTCAACTGATAGGGGAGTATTTGACATCATTAACTGAAGCTATTTGGGAAAACAAAATGCTTGGTCAATCTGTACCACTCTCATTTTACGATTCGCTTATTCTTCAAATTGTAGTGTGCGAATTCGAAGAAGAAGTACGAATCAGCAGTGGTGTTGACTCGTTTACTGTACATTTTACGTAGGGTATGTTCCAAATTTCAACAGGGTCAAAGACAAATATGAACTCTTTGTGACTTATTCTTCTAGATAGTTGTTTCTAATTCTAATGAGTCAAGTTAGAGCCAAATATCTGATGTTCAGGTTTTGTTTGTATATTGCGAACATGATATATAACTTAAAAGCATGGTTTGAATTTGATTCCTTCATTTTTTTGATAGATATTTGAGTTTGAATTTAAGTTTAAATAAAAATGCATGTACATATAGGTATGTGTATTCATTTATATGTCACGAACCTATTCAAGTAGCTCGCGAACATATTTATACTCATCTCGATTGTTAATTCAATCCAATGTTGTGTTGGGATTCAATTTGTCTAATATTATGCAATTGAGTGTTTTTCAAGTTCAAGCGAGCCAAATAAAAATTTGTTCGCTAACGGCTCATAAGATAAGGAAGAGTCCAAAATTTTCATAAGAAGATCGATCATACCTTAGAATAACGTGCGTAGTTGAATACTAAGTAGTGATAAAAAAAATCAGAATAAAAAAATTATTCTTTTATTCGATTTTAGGAATTTAGCATCATTGGCTTTTAAAATATGCATCTAAAACCGATTATGAATCAAATTCTAAAAGAACTGTTAATTGGCTTTCTTAATGGTTGGTTATCCACTCTTCCCGCCACGAGTTTCTCCTCTCCACCCCGTACCTTTGAGATATAAAAATGTTATCCAAGTTTCATTGCCTTCTCAAATTTTCGTCCCATTGGGACTTCACCAATACCACAACTGAGTTCTCTCCTAACACTTGGGGGACTCCCACGTCAAAGTCAATCGGATCACTGGTACTCAATTCCAGTGATTCGTCCGGTTGGATCGAGTAGGATCCACCACTAATTGTAGAACAGGTCGAGTAAAGCAAGAAAAGTCGAAGAAATACAGGAGGTAGGATATACAGATAGTCTTTAGAATAAATAATTAATGACTTTCACCAGCCGTGTATCAGTTGTTTTACTAGCTTTGCTTGTGGCATTTGCTGCAACAATCCCACGCTTGCGTGGCAGTAGTATTGAGGCAGATGCACACATTGGCGAATTCGATGATTTTCTACGGAAGAGGGCTGAGGATGCCCTTCAGGCTTCTCTCAGGGCATATAATCCTGATCCTGAAGCCGTCACTGACAATTTCACCAGACAAGTGGGAAAGTGAGTTTTTTCTTTCTTTCTTTTTTTCCCCCCTTACACTTCTTGGTTGCCTAATTTTCCTCCCTTTTAGCTAGTACCATCAAACAATTAATATTCACGTTCCATGCATCTTTTTGTATGTTGTCTTCACGTTCCGTGCATCGTTTTGTATGTTGTCTGTCTATAGGATGTTGGAAGGTGGCAATGAGACTAGGAGACAGCTTAAAGCAGGCGGCTGCGTTGCAACAAATCCCATCGACCGCTGCTGGAGGTGTGATCCTAACTGGGCAAAGAATAGGAAGAGGTTAGCCAAGTGTGCTCGTGGTTTTGGCCGCCAAACGAAGGGTGGAATGCATGGGAAATACTATGTGGTAGTTGATCCCTCGGATGATAATGTGCAGGATCCGGAACCCGGTACTCTTCGTCACGCTGTGATCCAACAGGAGCCATTGTGGATCATATTCGATACTAGCATGGTAATTAAGCTAAACCAAGAGCTTCTGATCAATAGTGACAAGACCATTGATGGTAGGGGAGTTGAAGTGCATATTGCCTATGGTGCAGGCCTTTCCATCCAATTTGTGCAGAATGTTATCATTCACAACATTAAGATCCATCACATTGTTCCGAAAAATGGTGGGCTGGTTAGAGATTCTACTTCGCACATTGGTTTGAGAACAAGGAGTGATGGAGATGGTATATCAATCTTTGGTTCAAACCATGTCTGGATTGACCATGTTTCCCTGTCTAAGTGTAGTGACGGCCTAATTGACGCAATCATGGCTTCAACAGCTATCACAATCTCTAATTGCAAGTTTAATAATCACAATGATGTAAGTTAAACTGTCATTTAATTTGAAAGTACCCCTAGCTGAGATATGTTGACACCTTTCAAATTTTGAACCTTGATTTCAGCGAAGGCTGAAATGCGATTAATACTTCCAAGAAATGATAGATATGTGGTGGTTTGGATGATGCAGGTTATACTTTTAGGTGCAAGTGACGAGCATAGTGAAGATGCAATAATGCAAGTCACAGTAGCATTCAACCGTTTTGGTAAGGGCTTGGTGCAGAGGATGCCAAGGTGCCGATGGGGCTTTTTCCATATTGTGAACAATGACTATTCTCAATGGCAGATGTATGCCATTGGTGGTAGTGCTCATCCGACTATTATCAGCCAGGGTAACCGATTCAAGGCCTCTAAAAACCAATTCACTAAGGAGGTAAGCATTTAGACCCTACAAGGAGGAGCTATGCTATAAACGTCATCCTGCTGAATTGAAAACCTTCATCTATCTATCCGTATTTCAATGATCGAGTTTACAATCCAATTGACACAAGTCCTTTTACCATGTCTCCTCTGCCAATGCATCGAAGCATTCGAGTAACTGTGTATTGGAATATTATTGACAGGTGACCAAGAGGGATTATGCCGAAAAGAGCCAGTGGATGGGATGGCAATGGAGGTCAGAGGGTGACAAATTCTTGAATGGAGCTTTCTTTGTGGAGTCCGGACCACCACTCAAAAAGAGTCCATTTACCGGAAAAAATAAGCTACAATTCAAGCCTGGTTCATACGCAGGAAGGCTCACAAGATATGCTGGTGCACTTAAGTGCCGAGAAGGCAAGCCTTGTTAACCGGTGATTATATATAGAAGGCAAACTTTTGTTTTTCCCGTCAAACGAGGCAAACATGTATATATGTATCTATGTATATTTGGAAAATGTTGCTTGGGTATAGATCAAATAACTTTGTGTGGGCTGAAAATCAAGCAGAAGAAAGTCACTGCTGCATAGATGTACAGAGAAAGAAGAATAAGCCTGGCCAAACCGCGAAAGCAAGCTCCATGGAGGTAGTTTGTCATTTCTCCTTGTCGTCTTGATAGGCACAAGATAGCATGTGATTAGAGGTGTTAGAAGTTGCTGACTAATATTAGTACAATTACAAGTAAATACCATTTGTTGGAAACACGTTTCTAAAACAAAAGTTATGCCGTAATCAATGGCTATCCTCAAATATTAGGCAGGATAAGTATACAAAATACTTCCTGAGTCTTGGCTCTCTGTGTTGTGAATATGAGACTAAATTCACTGGGTGAACAATTCAATTAATCTGGAGGATCATACAATGGAAGAGCCAAGAATCATCAATGGGTACACCGCAATTAGCTTCAAAGATGACTTTTACAAAGACAAAAGAGAGATTCTATCGTTTTCCTTCTGCAATTTGTACGTACCAATATGGACAAGTCAATTATCCTGTGCAATGGCACCAAAATTTCCGATATACTATGATCCAAAATACAATTAAACCACAGCCAAACAGGATTTAGATATAAAGGATCATAAGGTGTCAACAGAAATCTAGAAACAGATGAAAATTGAAAAAAAAAAAAAAAGGGAATGTTTATTGAATTAAAACTTTTAGTTATTAAATTATAAGCCAACTTATTGCCACACAAAGCATCTTGAAAGCAGGCCAGACCATCCTTCTCATCCCAGAAGAATCGTAACGAGGATCCCATAACTCAGATTTGTGAAGCTTGAAAAGAGACTGATTCACCACCCGATCTTTTTACTTTCTATTGCTCATAAGGCTATAAGAGGTCCTTCAACAGAATTCACGCTCAGAAACAGAAAAGGCACTCTATCGGAGTTCCTGCCATTTCATCCAAGCACAGCCAATTGCAATCAGTTTGATCCGCAACGTAGTTCAAGAATTATCTCTTCTGAAGAGGGCATGTCCTGATGTTATGCCCTTTCACCCTGCACAGCCGGCAGATGTAACTTCTCTTGGTAGGAACAGAATTTTTACTTGTAGCGACAATACTTACTTCTGCGATCTTCTCTTGAGGACAGGACCGCCTATTATGCCCAGTCTGTCCACATATACGGCAGCGGTGTTCCTTTGAGACTAGTCTCTTTCTTTCACTTGATTTTGACTTCCGGCATGTTCTTCTGTTATGCCCCTTTTCACCACATAGCCCACATGTAAGCTGTCTATCCCTCAGTTCATTCTGAACTTCTGGACAGTAGTTTCTCCTATGGCCTTCGCGTCCGCAATTCTGACAATAAAATTTTACCCCTGCAGAAGAATGAAGCACATCATATTCTGACAATAAAATTTTACCCCTCCAAATCAGTGAAGGAGTTCACATGCTGACATGTCGTCAATGCAAGCAGCAAAGCCTATTCTTGCAAATTCTTCATGTAACTGGCCTCGTCACTACCACATCTTTGAGGTACCAGACTTTGCTATAATCTAGGAAGAAATTTAGATAGAATGGATCCTAATAATGAGGTTAGGCCTCTTCAAGAACATAAACATACATGTCCAAACAGGTATGGAGACGAGGAAATACTGTAAGACTTGTGATACCACTCAGTGGTCCACTAGCTGAGAACCACATAAAAGTTGTTGGCATAGAGCTTAATAAAATTTGTTAACAAGTTTCAGGTACTTCAGCAATAAAATGATGTAATAACAACCGATACAATCATATTCAGAAAAAGGAAATTCAAAGACAACACAGCACATAATAAAACTCCGAGTGGATTTATAGAAATTAGCTGAGTAGATGGCATCATCATTTTGTAATGCATTCTGACAAAAAAAAAAAAGAAACTGAAAATTGTAAAACTCAAAAAAAGCATACAATTAATGGACCTTTCATTGCGATACTTCTTCTTTGTCGGTTCTCTGGGTCACGGAAGTACTTCTTCATTGCTTCAGAAGCCTGCCTCCTCGCAGCAGGGGTGCCTTTTACTTTCTACATGAATACTAACAATCTAAATTAGAGGTGAAATTTCCCTACTTTACATTACAGTACTTGAGTGGAAAGCTGAAATCACTTTGAATAACAAGATGTACAAAACTGCATTTCTTAACACTCTGTATCACTAATTTTGATGAAAAATGTTTTCCACAATCCCATTGTATTCTGAATATTCAAGACCCAAAACAATCATGTCACATTCTGTCCAACGTATATGAGGAACATAATAAACACCAGCAAGAAAAGTAGGGAGGTTCTAAAAGCATGACTTTGTTAGAATACTGTAGATACATAACATAATAAGATACTATAAAACAAAGGAGTACAGACTACAAATGTGTGCTTGATTGGAACTTAAGGAATAAAGTGCTAATTCTTCCCAATTCAGACCTTGATGGCAGCCGATCTTTGTGCACGAAGCAAAGGATCACTATGGATAATCTTCATCCTCCTACTAAACAACCCAGTTTTTGCATTCAGGCTCTGCAAGCATCCAACTAAACAAAGAAAATTACATTCATGGTTTGGTTGGGAAGCAAAAAAAAGAAGGAATACAGAAAATAAAATGTCATATGAAAGAATATCCAACGAAACTTAAAACTGCTCAAAGACTATACTTGATTTAAAATGAAACTTAATTTTATTGTACCCAAGACAGATAAAAAATTCAACCAAGAAGGAAATCTAACTTTGAGGGATCTGCTAATCTTCAAATTGACTTCAGGACTTGGAGAGTTGTATACGCGCTTGGTTTTTCTCTTCACATTCAGCTTTATGTCTAAATTGTCCACTTCATCATCTTCTTTTACCTTGAGAGGAGAACTGAAAACTCATCTATGTGAATAAATATGGTTCAAAAGAATGCAATACCCTCAAAAGGGGTAATGAGATTTGCAAATCATGAAGCACCAAACACCACATATCTGAGAAAACTAAAAACAGCCACACAGGAAAAAGAAATAGAGCACAACTTTGTTCAAGGAACGAAATGCACGAAGCCACATAGGTATCACTTATAACATCAGGAAACTACAATGCCAGAAAGGAGGAACTTTACTGTATATGAAGCAGTTATACATCACAAGCATGAAATGCATGATTCTTTACAAACACAAAATTTGATATCAGAAATTGAACAGTAGTGCAATGTTCTATGGCATAAGAATTTCCACATAGATGCAACCAAAAGCTATCTATGCCACGTTCCCTCTTTTTCAACCGTTGACAGAAATGACCATTTATGAAACAAAAGCAACCATTCTGATGTTTAATATGGCAGTGCGTAACCTTGAAGAGCAGAACATTATAATCAAGAAAGTGAAAGACTTACACAGAGTGGGCTTTCTCCCATGGCTGTTCATCAATCGACTCCTCCCAGATAACACAATCTCCAAGGCACTGAGGACAGGCAATTAGACCCTGTTTTGATAGGGAAACAGAGATCAGTATAGGAAAACTGTTAGCAATGTGGTTGGAATAAAGACTAAGACAACCAGAAATATAAATAATGCAAATATCAGGCAAATTTTTTAACATTGGTTTAGTGCAATATATTGCTAGAGCAAACTCAAGTTTCTCAAATGCTCAGAAACAATTACCTTTCCATTGCATAGTGAACAATCTGCTCTAGATCTTTCTATTCCACATTCTGTACATGGAGTATAACCCCTTCCCCTGCAACTTGGACAAGGCAGTTCTCTGATATACTGCCCATTTGGGCCAAACCATGATCTTGGTTTCAAACTACCAGAAAGAATCTTCCTAAAAGAATTATGATGCATTAGATCAAAAACCACCAGATAGAGCAAGAAATAGAATCTTAGACATGTCCGGCATAATCGTGAACAAACAACATAAGCTGGGTAATGGGAACCAAACTAATTCATGGGTTTTATTCCATCAGGCAAAAAGCATCTGCAAGCAACTTCTATATAGAATAACTGTAAGAAAACGCATTCTTCTTGACTTCAACAATCAAGTGAAGATATGATGTTTGAAAGAGCTTCAGGGACACAGATATAGCAGATACACATAAAAAAAATGCTATATAAATTCAAACGAAAAATATGCGCACTAACAGGGCAGGAGAGGCTAGACCTTGGTTGTGGATCGACAGAAAGTCCAAAGAACTCCTCAGGAGGGTCATAACCTAGCTGCTGCAATATAAAGCTAGGAGTTATATGCAATATCCGGATAGAAAAGAGGTGATCATTAAGTAATACCTAGTACTAGTTAATGCAATGCACCAAGCAAACAAGTTTTTCCAGCAACATACTCCACTACACAAAAGCAATTTCCCCAAACTCTCCCAAAACCGACCAAGATTGCAACTTTAGCAACTTTTAATAGCCCAGTTGTGTATGAACTGCGTATGAGGTGTCAGGTTGGAAAGTGTGAACAAATAAATGAAATAGGAAAAGAAGATACCTGGGATTGGTGTGGTTTCGGGGGTGATGGTGAGTTGGAGGAATCATCTGGCTTGAATGAAGAAGAAATTGGAGTTTGATGACTGACAAGACTAAATTTCCTTTTGGAATGTGGCACTATCCAGTACTGCAAATGCTTGTTATTGGGTTTCCTGTGGCACTGAAGAACGACTATATTCACTCTCAATGCTGATGAATACATTGACGAAGGCTTTGTTGCTCAACTACATTTATGTCTGTGCAGAGGCACACAGATACAAGACGAAAAAGAAGAGTAGAAGGATTCTGAACAAAAATAATAATACTATTTGTAGATCCCAGACAAGGAGAGCTTTGGATTTTCAATCCGTTTTAACTTTTAAGAGGAGTGTGGACTATTGAATCTGGAATATGGATAAAGGGAGTCGATGGGAGGCTGCGCCTGTGTCTCGTGTTTGTGGTCTATACTCTATGCTTAGCAGATATATTCAGTACACAGTACGGGTGAAATTGTGGATGATGGTCGTTGTCACTTCCACGTCGGGCCTTTTTTTCTTTTCGTTTTTTTCCAATTCTTTTATTGAATGTTTTTGTTGTCTTAATTTTGCTTTTATGGTTCTGTAACAGGTATTGGGGGCTTTAGCCTTTTACAATAATAACTCATATGAAAGTGTGTAAACCCAAATATTTTCATTAGAAATTGTGTAAATTACTCATCAGAACAGAACCATATTCATTTTCAAGTTCATTCTATCTGGAAATATAAACATGCCCAGTTACGTGCAATCTTATGTTTGTAGAGCCCTTCTCTAACGTTGCGTTCGCCATGGAAGGGCCACTTTGTGGGAAATTGGGTGAGGACTTGTAATGCTCGGACATCAACAGATGCTACATATACCTTTTTTTTTTTCCGATTAAAAACAGATGCTACATGTACTAATAATAACCTTGCATTAGACAGATTATTGCTGCTAACAAATAATAAAAAGACAAATTATTCCACTTATTTCAAAATTAATCACATATAAACAGCACATTGACTCATCCAATTCCAATCCACACTACAAAATTCAATTCTGCGTGGATCCCAGCAAATCATCTTGTTCAATATAAAAATAAACATATACGCCTTTTATTGATGGAATTTAATTTATTGAAACCTCAACTAATACGTAATCTTTCACGTGAGTGAAAAATCACAACAAAATCTTACATTCTATCACTTTTTTCACTACTACGTGACTTATGCAAATCCATATTGATGTTAGGTGCATAATACATATATCTGATCCGATAATGATCTCGTTGATTTTTCAATGATCTGATCGAACTCCTCTAAAATATGCTAAAGTAGGAGTAAGATATTGATGGATGAAAATTAGTACTCTTTCAATCTATTGTGTACAGGAGTAGATTTCTTTTAAAAAATTACAGTAGTATTATTTTGTGATTTCACTTGATTATGTCGAAGTCTAGTGACTCTAGTGTTAGGTTAAAAAAAAATGTAGCGAAATTCTATCGGAGAAAGAGTAAAAGGTGAGAGCTACTTGGACCAGAGTCCTGGAACAATTTATGTTGAAATTGGACAGCAAATATTGACGGTTAGAGAAAGCATTCCGACGAGGTTACACGAGTTATCTCACCGCTGCAGAGCTAGCCTAAAACCCAGAGCAGCAGAAAAGAATGCTACACCTAAACTTCTCTTCTTCTCTATCCCCTATCCAAAACCCTAGTAAACAGCACCCTCCTCCACAGTCATACCATGCTTTCTTCTCCAACAATACTTCACCCTTCAATCTTAAAACCAAAACCTCCTCTCTTTCTTTCTCCAATTCGACCAAGAACCTTACCTTAAAATGCCGCCACTCTGGTTATTTTGAGCCCCAAGAACCGCAGCAGCAGAGGTTTTCTCCTCCTGATCAACAAGGTATCTCTTTTTTGTTAACTTTCGTTTTCTAAGATTTTTGGGAGGAAAGATATAAGGCCCAAGTGAAAAGATTTGATTTTGCGGAGAGGGTCCGCCTGGAGATTGATATTTGAGTTGTTTGCTGGCTTTTTCCCTTGTTTTCTTTCATTTTCTTTCCATCCGAGTAGATGATTTCGTGTAACTGAAGGTTCTTTTCTGCCTTGGGTGTGCCTAATTTTGTTGCAATGCATGTAGCAGAAATTTATGCAGGGAATCACGTAAAGCTAGCAATTTTATTAGCATTTTTATCTGGTGTTACAAGTGTCTAAAGTTTTGCCTTCCATCCATGTTGGAGGATAATTGGGAATTGATAAGGGCTTTCTTCGTGAGCTGTGAACTGTTGAGCTTAATAACTGCATTCCTTTTTCAGTCATTCTTATGAAGTGAGCTTATAGCAGTTTTTTTTAAGCAAAGATGGTATTTTGGTTGTATAACAGGGACATTGCCGTCAAGGGTATATGTTGGATACTCTGTGTACAAGGGGAAGGCAGCTCTGACAGCGGAGCCTCGGCCTCCAGAGTTCACGCCTTTAGATGTATGCTTCTTGATGCGATAAATCAGCTTTAAGATCTTGTAAGAACGTCTGCAGTTAGTATTCATCTGATTTTTGTCTGTGATGGTTTTTGTTGATGGAGCAGTCAGGGGCATTTAAGCTGTCGAAGGAGGGTTTTGTGTTGCTTCAGTTTGCTCCTGCTGCTAGCGTTCGCCAATATGATTGGAGTAGAAAGCAGGTGTTTTTTGTTTCCTTCCTGCGTCATGCATGACAGACTAGTCTTGAAAGAAAAACAAGTGTTTACAGTAGAAACTAGGTGCTTGATCAGATAGAATGAAAAAGTCTATTCTGATGATGTCAAGGTCAGTGATGCAAATGCAATATTTTGAAAATGTTACTGAAAGATGAATTTGATTGCATCAAAAGAGCCTTCTTGTAATTTGGCTTATATATTTTGCTTTCTCTGCACATTTTTCCAGGTTTTCTCATTGTCAGTAAATGAGATTGGGAGTCTAATTAGCCTTGGAGCAAAAGATTCTTGTGAATTTTTCCACGATCCTTTCAAAGGAAAAAGGTAAAGTTTGAATTCTACGTTTGAAGTTTGTATGGTGGTGGGTGTCTTAATTCCATCTAGCAAGTGTGACTCTAGTAAACTGAAACAATCTTCTCGGAGTATTAGAATTGTCTCAGATTTCAGAATTAGATCTATTCATTATATAATCTTTTCAGTTTCAATACAGTAATTCATCCTCAATTTGAAACGAATGCCTTGCTGTAAACAAATTTCAACTTAGTTTCCAATATCAACAGACATTCTCGCTTCTCTTTGCCATTTTTTTGGCTTAATATTCATCAATGATTAGTTTTAGTAAAAAAATTTCTCTTTCCTGCTACTCATGTATCCTTTATGTCTCAACAAATCAAGGTGCTTTTCCTGTTTGTGTCAGTGATGAAGGTAGGGTCAGAAAAGTGCTGAAGGTAGAACCCCTGCCAGATGGTTCTGGCCACTTCTTTAATCTCAGTGAGCCTCATGTTTCTTGACTTCCTTCAAGTAGTTGATAAAGTGACATTTATAACCTTGTATTTAACTCGTTTTGTGTACACAATTGGATTTGCTAAAGGTGTTCAAAACAAGCTTATAAATGTGGATGAGAATATCTACATTCCTGTTACAAAGGCAGAGTTTGCAGTTCTTACCTCAGGATTCAATGTAAGATTTTTTGCAACCACAGTATTTGTTCTCCTGTGTCTTTGATTTAGTTTTTTGCACCTTTTCTGTTTTTACTTTAACATTTCTTTTGGTGAGGGATGCCAGAAGATTGGAGCATTCTGCAAATTATGGATGATCCTCGTGAGGAAATCATGACTTGTTCATGTGACTAAGCTTATTGTATGATCTGTAAATACATTAAAGTGGATTTAATTGAAGAACTAATGGGATGCATTTGATCCAAAGTGACTCTTCCCTCTAAAGGCTAGATGCTTTCATGGGAGACAGGATTTTTTATATGTTTGGAGATTTTGGGCTGTTTCATGGGTAATTTTGGTCAAAAAAGCAGTTCCCTTCTGGTAGCAAGTCAGTCATTTGGAGCCACCTTTTGTATTCAAGCTGTAGTGTGTGAGGTTAGGTCACTGTCGAGAGGCTTTGCTAAATGCAAATGTAAGATGTCTGCAGAATGCTTACCTTTGACCTTTCGCCTCTAAAATGGCTGTCTACTTTAGACTCGTGATCAGGTATTTTAAAGGTGGTCCAAAAGGTAACATATGGCCAGTTAGCACTTTCTAGGTTTAGTGCTCCTGTGGTCTTTCTTCCAAACCTTAGAAATCATATCCTTGGATGTTATTTGTGAGTTTGAACATCTGGCATGTTTCCAACCATCTCATGCACTCACTGCTCTTCTTCTGCAGTTTATCTTGCCATACCTTATAGGTTGGCACGCTTTTGCAACTTCCGTGAAGCCAGAAGATGCTAGTCGGGTGAACTACACTAATGCCAGATCTGGTTCCGAGTATGAATGGAGCAGATAGGGATTGCTGTTTGCATCAACTAAATTGATTTTGATATTCATGTGACTCTTCATTCCCTATGCCTTGTGCAGTATTGTATTTTGATGAAGTGAATTCCTAGGAGTTTTTATTAGTGTTATGGCTATGGGTTTGAAGAATAGTGATAAAATTTCATTGCAGCTGAATGTTCTCCTGTTTGGCATGTATGAGCCGAATTTGTTCCCTAGCTGCCTATTTTTGACAGTAATCAGCTATTTCGTAACCTGGCTTGTCATCAACCTGACGCCATATTTTCATCCTAAAGCTTGAGGATTAGTTGAGACGACCATGGCAAAATTTCACTGAAGAACCATATGCACTTAATTTGCCATTTGCATATAACATCTACCAAATGTTGGACATGACATTTGAATGCTATGATCGAAGCCAAGGAAATTCTCAAATTATAAATTTAAAATTTGGAAAATTCTACAATCCATTTTGAAAATTCTACCAACTTCTTGTCACCTCATTTAATAATTTAAACTCCTAAAATCATTTAAGATTTGATCTCTCTTTTTATATATCGAAATACAATGTTCCAAAGGGATGGTAGAACTCCTCCTAAATTCCTTTTTTTGGTACCTCATTTCCATTTCTGTCAGGACGTACACAATGTTGTTGGCATTTCTGTCACAGACATATTTGTTGTTGGCATTTCCATTCTTGGATTTGGTGCATTCATCAGCTGAATCCCCATAAGAAGTTACAGCAGATAAATTGATGCACAAAATTCTCTCTGCTTACATAATGCAGTTGGGAAAACCGCTTCTAGAATTGAGATAAGCATTGATGCTACTGAGTTCCTGTGGTCACATCACATGGGGTCATTTCTGATGAAATGCTTGCTATAAAGAGAACAGCATGCAATGATTCAAGGTACATGCTGGAGTACACCCATAAGAACTTATCCAAGGAACGCCAGGTTACTGATGCAAAATTGGAAATGGAGAGGGGATCCGGCACTGATTCTGGCGACTTGCTCTTGCCTTATCGTTCATCCCCTAGTACGCAATCAGTTTTATGGGAGATCTTGCTCATGCAAAGCTAAGAATCTGTGAGAAGAAAACGGAAGCTAGTGATCCCTGTCTTGCTGACAGAATATATGCATACCTGAGTAATCCTGGAGTTCAGAAAGCTTTACATGTCAAAACGACTCGACTCCACGCTGCCTGGACCTTTTGTTCAGAGTTCAACCTCTCTCTCTCTCTCTCTCTCTCTCTCTCTCTCTGTGATCTCCAGACACACACAAACACAAGAATCAAGGTGTGGTCTATACATATCATAGTTTAGTTCCATGTATCTTCGCATTCCGTGAGCAAAAGTTGTGATTTTGCAGGCTGCTGGACTGCCAGAGTGATAATATAGCCACTAACATCATTCCTCTATTGTCAGAAATCCTTAGACAGGACATGCCAGTTCTTTAATGTTTAATGTGGAAGCTCACTAATGAGCTAGAAATTTACATTGTCGAAGCTCACTCTTAATCTTTAATGTTTCCATAGCTTCAATTAATAGTACATTTGTTCTTCAGTGGAGATCAAGATTCAAAAATCCCACTGACGCAGACAAGAAAAATTGCAAATTTGTTGGCCAAAGAACTAGAGCTCACAGCTTTTGGGGGATATGGTCCTTGGTACGATGGATTGCAGGTAAAAATGCAATGATTACTCCATGGAAACATTTCTCAGAATCTCAATATTCTACATTGGAAGAATCATAACTCAGGACTGGACTTCTCCTCCAAGTCGGTGGCTGGAGCCAATCATTTGGTCGAATTACCAGAAATAGAAACACTACCCATTTGACATTTGCAACAGTTAAGGGTGCAGCACATGACGTGCCCTTCACTTCTCCATCCCAAGCTCTCACATTCTTCAAAGCGCTTCTTCTCCGGAGACTTCCTCCACCCAAAATCAGAAATAATTGATATAGAGCTGTTAGAATGTGGGTTTGGCGGATTTGGATGGATCATGATCGGAATCTATTATTCCCGCTCAATTGTTGGATCAAAATGGGTAAGAGTCGTGACTGTATTAATTTTTTCTCCTACATCTTCTTTGACAAGAAAAATAGTACTCTATATCTATATCATTGTAATAAGAGTTTAATAGATAACAACGAGTTAGTGAACAAATCATTTTATCTAAATAAAAAGAAAAAAAATAAAAAAGAAGACAAATAAAAATTGCGTGATGTGACAGAAAAAAAATGGTAGTCAAGACAAGTTTCAAAAGATGTCGCTACATACGTATAGGATGGTTTAGCTATCAACACAAAAGGTCAATGACACAATAATTGAAGAGTATGCTAAAGTGGAGGGAGAAGGAGAAGGAGAAGGAATACAAGGTTTGAAAGAAGAGGAGAAAAGAATAGGCAAAATTTAGAAAATTGTCACATTGGATTGGTGGAGGTGATCCAAAGTCACTTAACACTCGCTAATAATTGGCCCGCTGTGCTCTCTATCCAAAACCAGAAAAGAGCCGAAAAAAGGAATCGCCGACTCTATACTGCAGAGGAGAGAGACCACTTCAAAGGAAAGAATAAGCCTCCAAAGTCGAAACAGGAGAACTGCCTGTGGGTTCCCGGGGGGGGGGGGGGGGGGGGGGGTTGCTGGGGGCTTAGTTTCCTGACACGTATGTAGTGGTTACACGTGGCACCGCCTTCTTCCTCCAAATAGAATCTTCAATAACAAACTCTCGTCACTCTTCACAAGGGACGCTCCAGAAACAAAGATCTTGGGAAAAGGTATCACAAGCCCCTTCTGATCCTTGCAAGTCAAGAGGTGCTACACAGGTAACATTTTCTTGCTGCTGAGGCGAGAACCTACTGCTGCATCTCCTGAATTTTAACAACAAAAACTGCTATTCCTCGAGTTTGGTATGCTATGTTTTCTAAGGTGTTTCTTGGTTAAGCAATCTTTCTGCTTGTTGTTGGTCAGTGGAAAATGTCAACCCAAGAAGTGCTAGAATTCGTAAGAAGTAAAGAAATGCTAGAAGAACGCGGAAAAAAAACAGCTATAAATGGGAAGAAACGCGCAGGAATAGCCCCCATAGCATCTGATATTATTTCCATTGACCATATTTCATTTCGTGAAACTCCATACACGAGAAATGATTAACGAGTTAATACACCGTTTTATTGTAATTGCACACACCCCGAAAGTAGGAAGTGTTCAAGTGTGAATCCTGCACACTTTTGTAATCAATTCCTCTTATACATGAAATATTGCAGCCTCTTGAATATGGAAATCTGGTGTTTGCGCTAGAAAAGTAGAAATTATTCCACGCTGCCCCATGATGAATAGGCCTTTAGGAAACTCAATGCGCAGTCTGGTCTAATGGATTGTAAAGCATTGGCTCACACTAATGACGGCCATCTCATTGCTGACGCGCCCAAGTTACTGTTAGAATTTGACGAGCTTTTAGAATCTGATCATGATAAGTAGTTTTTACTCCGTTTTGTTGTGATATATAATGCATCAATTGCTTTTGCCTGAAATTCTAGCATTGAATTGTGCAAATTGAACGATTGACGAACCTGCGTTTTACATGTTTACTATCAATTCCAACCGGGTTTTTGAGCTTCTAAGATTGTTTGATTCAAATGCTGTAAATGATTTTCATTTTTGTCATTTGCTTTGCTTGATATGCAGAAATAGCACGTCAATTTTTCCTTGGTTTATAGATATTTAGATAAACATGGCACAAGCATCAAAAGGCCCAAAATCTACAAGTTACGATGCTTACTTTGAGAATGTCCAAAGCAGAAAAATGTTACCTCAATCGTTGCAGGAGACTCTAACGGCTGCATTTGCAAGAATTCCAGTTTCATCTTTTCCAGAAGTTCCTGGCGGCAAAGGTAACAGGAAGGAATCTTTCATTTCGCCAGCTTCTCACTTAATGTATCATCTATGGTTTTCTTGTTCAAACACATCATGTTCAATGGCTTCTTGCAACGTACCTGTAGTGATTGAGATCCCAGCAGACACATCTATTGGAGATGCTGTGAGAGTTTTATCAGAAAGCAACATCATGTCAGCTCCTGTGAGAAACCCTGATATTGAATATACAACAGATTGGAGAGAAAGATACTTGGGAATCATAGATTACGCCGCCATTGTGCTTTGGGTGCTAGAGACAGCAGGAGTTGCAGCAGCTGCCTTATCAACTGGTTCTGCAGCTGCTGCCGGGGTAGGTGCTGGTGCTGCAGGCACACTTGGAGCAATAGCACTAGGTGCAACTGGTCCTGCTGCAATTGCAGGCCTAACTGTTGCTGCTGTTGGAGCAGCTGTTGCAGGTGGTCTGAGGGCAGAGAAAGGAATGGCAAAAGATGCTCCCACTGCAGCTGATAAGTTGGGCGAGGATTTCTACAAAGTTATCCTTCAAGAAGAACCATTCAAGTCAACCACAGTAAGTGAGCATATAGGAGTGGAAGGTCTCATTAACATACTTTTATGCTTCTTAATCTCAAAACAATTTCAATCAGCTTTTCACAGCCACCATGTTTCAGCTATTTTATGAATTATCTTTGCACATACTTATCAAATCCCTATCACAGTACACACTCATCAAATCCCTTTATTCATCCTGGAGAGGTCATTGAAATGTTAAATGTTGTTGATTTGAACTTTGGAACAATAAATATGTCTGTGATAATAAGAAATTTGTTGTGGCCCAAACTTCTAGTCTTAATGGATGAATATGTCACCTTAATGTTGTTCATTTGCAGGTGAAATCCATCCTGAAATCTTATCGTTGGGCACCTTTCATTCCTGTTGCAACAGATAGTTCAATGTTGAGTGTCTTGTTGCTTCTCTCAAAGTACAGGCTGAGAAACGTACCTGTTATTGAAACAGGAAATTCATCCATCAGAAACTTCATAACTCAATCTGCTGTAATCCATGGTCTAGAGAGATGCAAGGGAAGGGATTGGTTTGACTGCATATCCGCAAATCCAATATCTAAGTTGGGACTTCCTTTCATGACACCAGATGAGGTGAGATAAATTAGATATCCAATTAACGTATCAGTGATAAGAGTGTGTGCAACAAGTTGAACATAAAAAGTGGTTGGCATTTTATCTTGGTCAGGTTGTTAGCGTCCAAAGTGATGAACTGATTCTAGAAGCATTTAAAAAGATGAAAGATAACCAAATTGGTGGACTTCCAGTTGTTGAGGGACCAAAAAAGCAGATCGTTGGCAGTGTGAGCATAAGAGACATCAGATTCTTGTTGCTTAAGCCTGAACTTTTCTCCAGTTTCAGGTAAAAGAAAATTTTACTACCTCAAAATGGTTAAGTGTTTTATATTGTCTACTAATCTTTGCGGCGTCAAGATTTTCCCATTAATATGCAAATAACGTCCATGGTTCCTACCAGATCATAATTGCATTTTATTGGCCACTAGATTATAAACTCACCACAAACAGGCCTTTTTTCATATCTATTTCACTGAGGATATTTTCACAGGGTGCTCACTGTGAAGGATTTCATGAACACCATTGCTTCAGCAATCCCTCATACAGGCAAGGTCATCAGGCCGTTAACATGCAAGCCTGATGAAACTCTTGGCAGTGTGATACATGCGCTTGCTTCCAACTCAGTCCACAGGATCTACGTGGTAGGTGACGACAATGGAGTCACTGGTGTAATCACACTGAGAGATGTGATCTCTTGCTTTATCTTTGAACCGCCAAACTTCTTCGATAACTACTTCGGATTTGCGGCACAAGAAATGTTGGGCTGTTGATGTCTTTGCGAGCGAAATATGTAACATTTGTTTGAGTAGACGGTCTTTTAACAGTTCTGTTAAAAATCAGGTCCCATCTCTATAATATTACATGCTATTGTCGTCATATCACTCCTCTATGGTACTGGAGGGTGAAATTTTTCCAGTTGCCTTTTGCTCATTATATCCCTGATTCTTTCCACATCCTTCCACTTTGCTAGTCCAGCGTATATGTTGGATAGAATAACGAAGGGAAAAGAATTATCTGGCTCTAAAGTTGAAAGCTTTCTAGCAATCTCTTCGCCCAGCTCAAAATCTGCATGCTGTTCACAAGCTCCAATCAAGGACCAAAGCGCAGCGTAGACAGAGCTGAACAAGCAGTTAATAAGCTTGTGACGGATTTCAAACTGGGGAAAATATTCTCGGAGAGCATTTTCCTGAAAAAGAGGAAAGCTTCAGCTTCTTGTCCCAGCTGCGAAAACCCACTGATCATCGAATTCCATGTTGCTGAATCTGGCATCAACTGGTTATCTTTACAAAAAGCTCAATTGTAAGCTCACTTTGATCATTCAACACCATTGCTGCAATCATTGAATTCCACGATTTTAAGCTCCTACCGGGTATTCTATTGCTCAGTCTAGCTTTTATGAAAGCTTTATTAATCTATTGGAACTGCATGGAATATTTTGTATAATCTCGTTAATATTCAGTGTCGCTCGCAAATTCACATTTTCACTCGCGATTCTCACCCTTCTCGCACTTGCTCTTACACAAAAACCGATCAATATGGGGATTCAAATGCAAGAAATAGCAAGAATATGGGGATTATGTATAGGGGCGGGCAAAATTATCCGCTAACCCGAAAATCCGTCATATCCGATCTAATCCGATTCGAAAATTAGGATATCCGATTTTTATTATTTGATAGGGTTAAAAGAGGGTCGGGTACCCGCTAAGATGCGATGCGGTTCAGGGTCGCAAAAATAAAAACTCGCGGGTACCCGATCCGCCCCGTATATATATATATATATATATATATTTTTTATGTTTATGTTTATATACACACTATAAAATAATAAGTTAGAACTAAATAAGTAATTTTATTGAACAAATTGCATTACAAATATGAGAGACTATAATTTATTTACAAGACTAGGGGAAAAAGCCCGCGCCATGCGCGGGAGTTTAATACCTATAATTAAAGATAGTTAATAATTATTATTTAGTATTTTGTAGTATAAGAATTAAAGTATGGCAATTTTATTATGTGATATTAAACAGAAAAATCATAAATTACATATTGAGTAAAAATGTATAATATGCAATGAAATATAATTATAAAACATGATTAACCACTTTGCGTCTAATCTAATAGAATAAAAGATTTACTTATATATGCTCATGCATTTTAGGGATATTAAAATTTGTTATTTAGTTTGAATTTGATTTTGATACGAGGGCAATCCACCTCATTATCTTGTCATATGAATGAGATTTGAACAATTAGCATACTTGAAGAAATCATTGCTAGTGGAATTTCAGTTCTCGCAAGCCAAATTCTTTGATTTATATTGATTCCAAAGACATATCATCATAAAACATCCACACTGACCAATCAATCAATTATGATTTATTGTATGATTTAGAACATATAGCAAAACATCTTCTTCTTGGTAGGGGTTACCGTCACAAAACATCAGTTTTTGACCTAGTTGCAAATATATACAATAACTAACATGCTAATCTAGATGAATAATTACCTCAAAAAGTACTAAAACATCTTAATCCACTCAATTCAAGAAAACAATTAAAAGTAATGAAGTACATACTTTAGATTTGTAGCCAAATAGTTTTAATCCACTGAATTCAATAGACTACATGATTGTAGTGGAACAAAATTATAAGTAAATGAAATGAATTTGAATAGATGGGGGTTACTATAGTAACAGCCAAGAAACCAAACTTCTCTACTAATCCGTATTAATTGTGTCTTAACATCTATATATCACAAGTTTGCAAATAACTGATAAGAATGGCTTTAAGAAATTAATAGACTTGGATGTTAATCCAATTAAATTATTAAAAGGATTTTTATGTAATTCCACTAAAACACAACCTGAATTCAATTGTACCCAATGCTTAATCAGATATCGAATACTGTCACATGTTAAACTTACCCATAGCTTTAAATGTCTGACAGGATATTTAAGTAATTATAAAAAAAATCAAATTAGTTATAATGATTCATATTCAATATTCCAATTGCACTTCAAATACTCTCATATTCCCAAAATAGCCCCACCCTTGCGGTTGAAATCTTTGCCCTTAACTCATTCTTATATAGTATAAGGATTCATTTGTAGAGGTCATGATCTTATATTTTATAGAAAAAAGTTTAATTAATGTGAAACATATATATTAAAAATTGTGCTACTTATTTCAAACATTGATTGATTTTGAATTCTTTTAATTTTTTTCCTTTATCTTATATTCTCTTCACATGCTTGTTTCTTGGTCGGAAACCTTTTTTTAGAAAAAAAATTATTAAATATTAGATGAATGTGTAAAATATAAAATTAAATTAGTATAAATTATTTTTTTAAAAAAAATTAAATGATAAATGGGGCGAGGCGGGTACCCGCTGACCTAACCTTATCCAGCGGGTACCCACTGATATGCGGGACGAGTAAGGGTCAGAAAATAGCTGATCCGTAAAGTGCAGGTCGAATAAGCCAAATGATGAATGAGACGGGTACCCGACCCGCGTCCACCCCTAATTATGTAATTGGGGGAACGATGATTATTAAGGACGCTAATGGGGCAATTCCGAAAAAAGACCCTCGAACATAACAATTGAGAAGCCACTATTGACAAAGAGTAGCAGCTGAATGGGGCAAGTCGGGTTTGTTTGGATAGAGAATTATTTGTTAAAATATATTTGCTTATATCATCATTATAATTTCCAACACACCTTTTTATCTTTCCAATTACCTTTTTATCACATCACAAAAAATATTACAGTAATTATTTCAAATAACACTCTATCCAAACAAACACCTATGTTTCTTTCAGAACTTCCACTATTATTCGAAGAGCACCACTATTTGGAAGTTTCCTCCAATTTATTCATCTGTTTTAAGATCTTCCCACCCAAAAAAAAAAATCATCCGTGTCAATCATGGGCTCCATCATTTATGTTTGAGGGTACGTGGCTAACACATGAAACAACCAAACAGCTACACCAAGTCCACTGTGTGCCTAGAATAAAATTAGCCCAATGAAGGGTATTAATGCTTGGGCCTCGGTACTATGGGTCTGCAGTAAATCTGTACATCGGGCCAGCAAGAAAGGCCAGATCTAGAAGAAATGCATCTGGATTTTTTTCTTGACACAGCTTTTTTTTTTTTTTTTTTTTAAAAAAGTTAGTTAGCTTTGTTAGAAGAATAAATTTAGCTCACTATCTTCCTAAATTTCATTATATTACATGGAGTATGACTAATTAGCTTTACATTAAATAAGTTAAATTATACTCAATAACAGCATATATTACATAAGGATATTTTAGAGAAATTACAAGTTAACTATTATATTATTCAATTAAAAAGTTAGATGGATGAAAAGGGCAAAAAGCAAACATATTCTTGGTTAGTTGAATTTTCTTGAACTTATCAAAAGGAAAAGGGGGCAGTTAAATCTTCTGGAAATGCTTATAGTACTAATAAGTAATTTATTACTAGCGACTTAAAAGACATGCATCAATTGGCTAACAAAAGTAACAAAGCCAGTAAACCACCACTTACTTAACATCAGCCATAATGGTTTATTGGCCTCTTACCCTACTTTTAAGTTTCCCAATGTCCAATCCAGGTTGGGGTAGAAATTAGAAAGCCCCGTTACCACTGAGCATTCCCCTAACTTCTCTTGGTAGCTGTCGATTTCAGACAAAGAAATCCATATTATCAAGATAAGCATGGATGATGATAGAAAAAAGGGTTAATTACATTTACCTCCCCTGAGGTTTGATCATATTATCAATCAATCCCTGTAATTTATTCAAATAACGGTCTCACCCTTTGAATGATCAAATATTTAACAAAAACCCCCTTAATGCCGAAAATGCCCTTATTGAGGCCATGTTGTATTAAAAAAAGAACATATTTTTATTTTATTAACTTTGAAACAATCCAAAAAAATAGAAAAAAATTTTTGTTTATTATTTTATAAAAACCATATCTTTGCTTCCATAAATAGTTTTGAATCAATAATTATTTTAAATCTTAAAAATGAATATTAAAAATTAGATAAATTGAAAGAAAAATAAAAAAAAAAGAAATTATTTTAATTCCTGGAATATGGTTCAAATTGAGGAAAACATGTCTTGTGCTCTCCGCAACATGCCTTGAACCACAAATTCAAACCATACTTGAAGATTTAAAATAATTGCTTCTTTTTTATTTTTTTTAAATTTATCTAATTTTTAGTATTCATTTTTAAGATTTAAAATAATTATTGATTCAAAACTATTTATGGAAGCAAAGATATGATTTTTATAAAATAATAAGCAAAAACTTTTTTCTATTTTTTTGGATTACTTGAAGGTTAATAAATATAAATATGTTCTTTTTTTAATGCAATATGGCCTCAAAAAGGGCATTTTCGGCATTAAAGGGATTTTTGTTAAATGTTTGATTATTCAAAAGGTGAGACCGTTATTTGGACAAATTACAGGGATTGATTGGTAATATGATCAAACCTAAGGGGAGGTAAATGTAATTAACCCTAGAAAAAATTAGAAGACCACGTTCTCTCCATATTTTTGCTGCTCAAAATGTGGTCCTATATGTCTAATTTCATTTTCTTTAACCCCACCTTTTAATTATCCTTAATTAATAATCACCAACCAAAAAAGACCCGCCATGTATTTATTGTGGCAGATCTTTCTTTGTTAATCTTCTCAATTAAAACAATAATGACAGTGCACAGGAAGGAGGCACATAAAACTTTATTGCAATTAAGCTTATTTCGGTTTAAGGGTTCGGGTTGACCATATATATTTGTTTGCCTTCAAGATAAATTTGCATAGGTTCCTATGGAACTAATTCAAATGACACTATATTTTAGTCAAGAACAAAAATTTTGGAAAAAATATAAAAGGGATCTGCAATGTTTACTTCATTAATAACCAAAATAAAAAAAAAAAAAGTAATGTGCTTTTATATAAAGGAAATAACTAATACTAATAAAACAATTTATACACTCAACCCAAGAGAAACAAATTAAAAAGGGTTTGTTATGTATAATCACAAATGCATTGTGATTTACTCATTTTTTGGAATTAGAGGTTGTTTTGAAGGAGATAAATTGCCCTCTGCTTCTCACGCATTAAGCGCAAGGGATGCCGTAATTACTCATTGCATGAGGGGACAAAATACATGACATGAGGGACCAAAAAGCGGTATAGGTGAAAATATAAGGGACTAAAATGAGATTAGAACTACACATACAAACGGTACCGGAAGTAAAATTTCCAAAACATGCGATACCAAAATTCAGGTGATATTAAAACGGAGTAGAGAAGGGACTGAGGGAGTGCAGAGCAGGGTGGAGCGGAAGCAACGATAAAAGAACAAAAATGGCGAAGTTTTGCTAGGTACTTTCTTCAATCATGTGAAATAAA